TTATGTGTGATAGAGCGTATCATATCACATGGTTTGGATGCACTGGCGAAGTTTGCACCAACTCTCGAGGTGAGAAATGGCAATGCACGGTGCCAAAGAGGCTAGCAAACTGCGGAAAAGATAAGTGTGTATAATCCCTGGACTCACATTAGTGATAAAGAACTCACTTACTTATTGTGAAAGCCTATTAGCCTTCAAAGCAAAGTACTACTTGCATGCTTTTAGGGGGATAGATTGGTAGGAGTTAACCATCACACACCCTCGATTATAACAACACTCAAGGGTTCCATTTTAGACATAAAAATGCTCAAACCTCCCAACCATGCCATGACCAACACTTAGATAAGAAGTTAATAACAAGCTTTAATGCTGATATTTCTACTAACCAATGATCATGAACCAATATCCTTTCATATTATGAGATCAATATCACTAAACCATGTGTTTCATATTTAGTGGTCTACATGATTTTTTTTATTATATTCCCTTGAATACTATCCTTCTCGGACTAGTCTTATAACCCGTACATATAGCCATTACTATTTATCAGACTCTCAAAAAGATTTAAGTGAAGCATGGGAGTGTAATCATTTCTATAAAATATAACCACTGTTGTGATCTAAAAGATATAAGTGAAGCACTAGAGCAACTGCCTAGCTCAAAAGACATAAGTGAAGCTCATAGAGTATTATAACAAATCACAATAAATGCATGTCCCTCTCAAAAGGTGTGTCTAGCAAATGATGATTGTGACAAACTAAAAAACAAACAAAGCAAAACTATGATACAAGACGCTCCAAGCAAAACTCATATCATGTGATGAATAAAAATGTAGCTCCAAATAACATACCGATAGATTGTAGATGAAAGAGATGGTGCCATCCGGGGCATCCTAAGCTTAGACGTCTGGGTCTTCCTTGATTATTACCTTGGGGTGCCTTGGCCATCCCAAAGCTTAGGGACTAGCCGCTCCTTATTTCTTTATCCATGGTGATCTCACCCAAAACTTGAAAACTTCAACATAGAAAACTCAACAAAACCTCGTGAGCTCCACTAGTATAATAGACAAATCATAAACTTTAGGTACTGTTATGAACCCATTCATATTTTATTATTCATAATACCTATTGTATTCTAATTCTCCATGACTTATACCCCCCGATATAATCCATAACATCATTAAACAAGCGAATTATGCAATAGAAAACAAAATCTGTCTAAAACAGAACAATCTATAAATGATCTAAACAAAAACTATACTTCTGTAACTCCAAAAATTCTGTAAAACTAGGACAACATGGGCAATTTGTATATCAATAATGTGTAAAAATTCAGAATTTTATCACGTTCTAGTGAATCATAGTAATTCCAGTTTTGAAAGCAAAAGTTTTTGTTTTTCACAGAATTAAGTCAACTACTAATCAAATCATCTCAAAGGCTTTACTGGGCACAAACAATAATTGAAATATAAAAACACATTCGAAGCAGTAGCAATAATTGTGTCAACACACCAAAACAGAAAGTAAAAGCAAAAAATTAAGATAACTATTGGATTGCGTCCCAATAAGCGCTATTGTTTTACGCCCCTATCTAGATGTAAGGTATTGTTTCAAGTATTGTCATCCTTCATATCAACTACATAAGTGACCCTCATAATAGATTCATATGGCGACCTAATTCTCTTTCTAGGAAAGTGTTCCATCTCTTTTTTAAATGGAAATTGGAACCTTATATTTTTTTTCTTTCATATCAGTAATAGCACCTATGATTCGTAGGAAAGGTCTACCAAATATTATAGGACAAGACGAATTGCATTCAATATCAAGCACAATAAAATCCACAGACACATAATTTCTATTAGGAAGTATGAGAACATTATTTATTCTACCCAATGGTTTCTTAATAGTTGAATCCGCTAAATGCAGATTAAGGGAACATTCATCCATATCGGTGAGACCTACCACATCACATAAAGATTTTGGTACACGAGAGGGGTGGGCCAAGCTAAATACCGACATGACTTTTGATCCCGTCACAAAGAATTCGAAGATCGGGGTTGTGGTCAGAAACTGTAAAGGATAAATCCTCATGGCAGCTGCAATTATTGGAGGTAGAAGCCACAATCCAGAAGAGGGCGAAAACAATGCAATTGTTGAAGGGATCAATCTCTACGTTGAGCGAGTGACCATCTCTAGTTGTCGAGGCTGATAATCTATGTGCCATCCGAAATCTGCAGCAAAGAGGGAATACTCGGTCTCTATCCTGCTTCCACTACAGAGATGTGTGTAAAATCTCAGAGACTAGGGCCGCGCTTGGAATCGGTGTAAATATATACAAGTGTATTTTTCTTACGGGTGTATCTTACCGGCCATTTGCGATTTGCAGGCGGAAACGAAAACGACGGACGGTGGTCTGTAACTTTTACAAGCGTATTCAAAGTAGAAACGACATTCCAAACAGGGCCTAGAAGATGTCAAATTCGAGCATACTCCTCGAGGGGCCAAGAAAGTTGCTTACACGCTTGCACATGTAGCTGCTAGGAGTGCACACATATTCATCTGGATACTCGACGCACCATTTTTTTTGAGCTTCTTTTAGATGATTGTAAACATAAATGGAAAGCCTTTATTCTCAAGAGAAGAAAAGAATAGTAATAGCATTTCTCAAAACTTGAAATTTTATAATGGCATACATCAAATTTACCCCTTTTTTTTATATCACTTCATCTTTCATCCACTTTTCCTTTGAACTAAATGAGTCCTAAGATTGTGATTCTATCTACTCCCTCCGTCCCAAAATTCTTGTCTTAGATTTATATAGATACGGATGCATCTAATTCTTATCTTAGATTTGTCTAAATACGGATGCACCAAGTCACGTTTTAGTATTAGGTACATCCGTATCTAGACAAATCGAAGACAAGAATTTTGAGAGTAGAGAGTATTTGTAATGTATCTGTTTAGGACACATCTAGATTTGACATAATTATGTCACATCTAACCTTGTGTTTCACTATGTGGTTTATTTATTTTTTTGTCTCAGATTTTTTTGTTCCTTGTTGCTGTGTTATTATGAGAGTTTAGATGTGATATTCTTAGAAAACATTTAGATGTGAATTAAAGGGTGTTTGGTTCCAGAGACTTTTTTATGTTGGGACTAGAAAAAGTGTTAGCAAACCAAACAGGGTGAGACTTTTTTGGGACTTTTTGCTAAAAGTCCTTAGAAGCACCTCATTGAGAGTCTTTTTCAAAAAGTACCAGGGACTAGAAAAAGTCCTAGGACTAGAGAACCAAACACCACCTTACACAAACTGATTTGTAATCATAAGGTCTGTTTGGTTTCAATAAGTCACGTGACTTAAAATCAGTGATTTATAAGTCACGCCTGTTTGGTTGTCATCTGACTTATAAGTCACCTGACCATACCTTACCACCTTGTCTTTTTATGTAAAGGTGGTGGAACCCACATAAAAGAGGGTGACTTATAAGTTTTAATAAGTTGGGGTTGAGCAATTTATGACTTATAAGTTAGGGTGACTTATAAGTTGGATCCGTTTAACAAAATAAGTCATTTTTTTCATTTTTCGATTTATAAATTGATGACTTATTTGGAACCATGCCCATGATCAGCTCAAGCCGTGAAGAATCGTCCCTCGGGAGGCACCAAAATCAGTTTTGAACGAAGACGAAGGTGTCACGTGAAGGCGACACGCCAAATTCCCATCGTCAGCGTTTACCCACCCCGAGAAGACCAGACCACAGCGGTCGTCCCCCTCCACCCCCCAGGTGGCGCCACGGCCGTGGCAGCCGTGGGCGGCGCGTGACCCCCTCCTCTCGCACAGTCACACTCTCCCGCACCCCTATCCCCTCAGACTGCACCTGGGGACCCACCTCCCCTCGCACCCGACGCGCCCACCCTGTCAGAGAGACAGACCACGCCTCCTAAACCCTCACTCCTCTCGTCCTTCCCGTGCGAACAGGAGACGTCCTGTTGACTCCTCTGCTCCGCTCTGCTCTGCTCCCCCAATCCCTCCTCTGCACCCCGCGCCTTCGAGGCGAAGCCACATAAAAAAATTGCTTGAGAAACGGCAGGAAGAAAAGCGGGGCAAAAGCTCTTTCCCACCCCCCTCGCCGCGCGGAATCTGCTGTCGACGGGGAGCAGCACTCTCGCGGCCTCTCCGGAGGGAGAGCTCGCCGCCGTCGTCGGGTTCGTCTGCTTTCTCCCCCCTTCTCCGTGCCACGACTCGACGCTTCTAGTTCCAGCGGAGTAGGGGAGGGAGGAGGCGTTTTTTCTTTACGGGTTAATTTCGCGTGATTTCTCGGGTCTGCAATGCGCGGCGCGGGGCGAGGAATCAGCGGCGGCCGGGCGGAGATGTTTTTTTGGTAGCACAATCGGTAGCATTTGCGTCGCGGGAGGGGCGGATTTCCTGCCCTTGGCGAGCGTTTCCCTTCCAAGTATCAATCAGCACGGGAGATTGAGATTCGGGGCGGCTTGCCTAAAAATAGAAGATTCGGCCCCCGGAGAGCCGATTCCGTGCTGTTTTATTGGTAAATTTCCCGTGTACTTCTCTCCTGGGGTTTGCGGGGATGCTCTGGTAGCCGCTTCAGCCGCCGCCGCCGCCAAATCTCGGTATGCGCGAAGCTCTGCGTGGAGGCATGTCTAGATGGCGGCGAGTTGTTTCCTCTTTGTTTCTGTTTTTCGTACGGCGTTCGTCCGCTTGGTTGTAACAGTTATATTATTCTACTATCTATGTTCAGTGGCGGAGCTTGGTCAGGGTCAACAGGGGCCAACTATTTTTTCTTCTGCATATTAACACTTGATAGTGACCACTATATTTGTCAAATTTTGACGTGATACCCCAAATTAGCCCCCCTCAGCTCTCCCTAAGTTTCATTTAGCCCCCTCTTAATTCTTGCTGAAGCTCCGCCGCTGTCTATGTATTAGCTGTTCAATTGAACGTGATTTGCTAATGCAGTGGATTCTGTGTGCAGGGTTAAAAGATGTCTGATCAGGAGAGGGATGATATCCCAATGCTGTTAAGAAATATTGAACTACCAAGATTTCCCAGAAGTACATCTATGTGTATGCCGGTCAGGGACGAGGATTATGAAGAAGACACTTACGTGCCCCATACCGGACCTCTATCGAGTCAGCCGTCGAGCCAGGTTGCAGCAGCAGGCAATCCGTTTGTTGTTAGCAGGCACACACCGGATAATAGGCCGCCACGACATCCGCAGGTAAAACAAGTCAGCAAGCCGCAAGCCGTCATGCCAGAAGACGCTGGAGGAAACAGGTGGTCTCATGGTGGAGATATTCCAAAGAATGAACATTTGATGATGTCTGGACCTTTGGGACAATGTGATAATCCCGACTGTGTCCATTGCCCTCCTGTGTGCAAAAACAAGAGGCATTTCCAACGGGCTCCAAATCATTTTGACAATAAGGTGGTTTTACTTGCTGTGCTACTTATGCAATTCACTTTATACTTGATGATTAGGCTTAGATCGGTGCACTAATTTTTATGGTAAAACAAACAACCTCAACCTAGTACTGGAATCACCAACATCTCATTTCTGACAAATAACTGAGATCATAGAAGTTTAATACGTCTGATGTTATGGTATAGTTCTTAGCTTGTTTGTCTAGTTAGATCTTCTTAAAACAATGGTTGAAATAGTTCTTAAAACTCTTACAGCTTTTGACTGGTACTAATTCATCAAGTATAAAACAATGGTTGAAATAGTTCTTAAAACTCTTACAGCTTTTGACTGGTACTAATCATCAAGTATAAAACAATGGTTGAAATAGTTCTTAAAACTCTTACAGTTTAATACGTCTGATGTTATGGTATAGTTCTTAGCTTGTTTGTCTAGCTAGATCTTTTTAAACAATGGTTGAAACAGTTCTTAGAACTCTTACAGCTTTTGACTGGTACTAATGTGAGTTTCTCCTCTTTTGAAGCTTCATAATATTCTCTATAGTCACCATCGTGGTTGGAAGAAGAGAATTGAGCGTTTCCTTTCGTACATTCCGATTATGAACCCACATGCGAAGGTTGTTCAACAATGGAATCAATTCTTTGTGATATCATGCCTGGTTGCCATCTTCATCGACCCCCTGTTTTTCTTCCTGTTGTCAGTAGAGAAGGTAACATTTTACAAATTTGCCAGCTAACAACTCCATTCTTTCTACACGTCGTCTTGGAGAATTGACACATTCTCCAATGTACACCCTTTTCTGAGAAAATGGTAGGAGCCCTGCCTTTGCATTATGTGAATGCAAGTTCTTTGAAGCACTGTATGCCTCTGCAAAGAGTTAGGCGCACCAATATACTACCTCTGTAAACTTTTATAAGACTTTTTAGGTCACTACTTTAGTAATAACATCTGTACATTTTCTACTTGCCTACTAGTAAACATTATTGAAAGATAAGTCCAGTAATAACATCTGCACCACTTTTAAGAAAATCAAAGATATTTTACCTCTGGCCTCGCATCGTAGATGCATGCGGCCTATGTTTATTACAGCAAACTTCAAGAATGTCAAACAAGAAAAGTATGACATGCCAAACTCACATGGAAAATCAAAACACTTGTGTGTATTAGGCATTAGCAGCCAAAGTTTAAAAAGGCTGATTCTTCGCATCATGAAATATCACATAAACAAGAATGGAGTACTATAAAAATGACTAATACATTAGATAGGTTTGGTTAGATGCGTACATCTGTCTGCTGGTGCTATTTTGTAAAAAGCTCAGTTGTGGTGCCTTGCTAATTTCTAAACTTGTAATTATTTTGCTGACTTTGGGTGATGCTGTGACGTTTCTGGACATGTGTTGTTTGATGGTATTACTCCATACTTTCACCTCAGAGAGTTGATATCTATTGTGGTGATAGCGGTAGGAGCAAGAAGGTTTCATAACGTTTTTCAGGGAGCACTCACCCTCAAAATTCATTACTATAGACACATTAAATCAGTTGTCTTAAGGATTTGCAATATGAAGATATGTTGGGACTAGTCAATATTAGCTTTTCTTGCTGTTGTAATTCTGATAAAAACAGACGGCACTTGCGATTTTCCTTTTGGGTTCAATGCAGGATAAGAAATGCATAGTATTCAACTGGAAGTTGGCGACAGGACTTGCCGTTGTGAGAAGTGTTTCTGATGCTATTTATTTTCTGCACATGCTTCTTCAGGCAAGTGGTTAATCGGTTTTTATATTCTATAATCTAGACAATGCTTCACATTTTACCAGCATGGATGAAGTGGGTACAAGATGTAATTATGTGAATGACATATTGTTAACTTAGTATGCATACTAAACTATCCTTGTACTGTTAAACCTAATAGCTTGTTGATTCTATTTCGAATGGTTTTTATTGTCTTGTTAATTCGTTTCACATACTACTAGTGTATATTAAATTTTAGACAAAATAGCTGACCAGCTCAAAAATTCTGCCATGAAAGAAATATCTTGTCAACATAAAAACTTGACCACCTTATTTGTTCTTTTGAAACAGCCACCAGGGGGGAGAAATCCCTACCTGAATATGATCTCATTTCAAAAAGAGATTGATCCAGTTTATAAGGAACTGGATCAAAAACCTTAAGAGCCCAAGGGGCAAGCGTGCCGAGGCAGGAAAACAGGAAAACAGGAAACACACACACACAAAACCAAGTACACAGTAAGGGCATGTAGATGGTTGATAAGATAGTCTTATCTTAAGTCTTGCATCTAGTTTAGAGATGACAAAAAAAATATGTCTACAATGGGTCATCTCTTAGCCTTATCTTCAATAACTAGCTATTCGTAAAAATGTGGTGAGACAAATTGTGCTAAGAGATCATATCTTGTCTTCTCTTAAATAAGAGAAGACAAGCCTTTTCTTATGATTTCTCTTTCCTCCACCTCATCATTTATCCTATGTGTCAGTCCTAAGATAGAACCATTGTACATGCCCTTACGACACACCACGCAAGGAACAACTGCGTAGACCAATAGATGGATCTAGGTGACTGTAGAGATGCTGCACGGGTTATGACATAAGCACATACATGGGACACTAGCAACAGAGAGGAGACAATTGGGAGGCAAACTTCAAAATACACACATTAAAGCTCCAACAAGACGTCACTCTAGCCATTGAAGGGTAGACCGCAGGTAGTCATGTCAAGTAATTGTCCCATTACCAATTCCGTGCCATCCAGCACCCAAAGGAAGGGTGGTCATAGCCCAGGAGAGAACTAGAATGGAGGCGGGGAGGCTCTGGCTCGACAAACAAGCACGAGGGAGAAGCGCCCTTTCGCCGCCGGAAGGGAGGAAGTGGCGAGAAAGGGCGAGGAAGAAGTGACATGATTGTAGAGTTCTGCTAGTGAAAATATCTCCACCGGAGGGAGGTCATAGCCCAAGGTGAAGTGTAAATGAAGGGCACACACAACATGAGAGAGATGACAACAATGGTCACCAAAGGGCTGCATGGTGGGCACGCAGAGGCCAATCCTGCAGCTGCGGCGCGAGATCCGGTGGTTGGAGAGCTCATAGGGCGGCAGCTGCGTTGGTCGAGGTCAGAGGGCTCGCCGGTCACCAACGGGAGCCAGGAGGCGCTGATCGGTGCAATGTAGGCGGATCCATGGAGGGGGATGCAGGATGCAACTGTGAAGGGTTGGATCCGAGAGGCAGTGGGGGGGTCTTGGTTGTGCGAGGAAGGAGTCTCGTCGTTGTCAGCCGCCGACGGGCTTTGCCGTTCGTTGTGTGCTGGCGGCAGCGAGGAGAGTGACGGAGGATGGGGTGGCAGTGGCAGGCAAGTCGGGTTTCCGCCCGAGCCGCCTCAGAGAGATGCCCAGGGGGTCCGGCCAGACCGTGGCCAATCTTGTTCCTGTTGAAGTGTATATGTGGATTGCCTATCCCTTTCCATCAGTTCAGACTTTTGGTTGCGTTGGCTAGTGCATGAAGCTTAACATGGTATCAAAGCCTAAGGTCTTGAGTTCAAATCCTGGCTTTCGCAATTTTATCCAAAATTTGCTGCTTCCCCCCTCTGTGCCTAGGCCTGGGCATTCGGTTAGGTGCCTCGATTTATATTCACCGAAGAGACCCAATGTTTGGAGGAGAGGAAGAAATCATGAGTCAAATCATGGAGAAAACAAGAACAGCCGGACACATCAATCCAAACATGTGTAGCATTCATGGTTGTGGGGACTGATACAAAGAAAATGGGGCAGAGCCATGGACGTCGTCGGGCGCCGTTGAGAGCCATGGGCGCCGCCGGGCACCACCGTGCAGGAGCCATGGGCACCGCCGGCCGATGGCGCGCCACCGCGCAGGAGCCACAGGTGCTGGCGCGCAGCGTTCGCCGCTAGTTTTGCGTGAGGTGGGGATCGGAAGCGGAGACGGCGGCGCTTCGTGATGTGTGTGCTTGAAGCCTCGAACGAATACAAGATAAGATGCAGGAGGCGGAGCTTTGTGTGTTTGTGGCTGAGATATCGCTGAAAAAAAATGCCGTGTAGTGGTTGGATTCTTACGAACGTGGATGGGCTGTTGGCCTATGTACGCTGGGCTTTAATACAACACAATATTTCGGTTTATTCGGGTGATTCGGTCAACAGACTGGAACGACCGAATTCACTGAAGCAATTTCGGTTTCTCAGGTTTGCTGACCGAGCGAACAACCGATGCTTCGGTTCTCGGTTTTTTCGGCTTCGGTCTCGATTTTTTGGGCTCCGGTCTTCGGTTCTCGGTTTTTATGCCCACCCCTATCTGTGTCCATCTATAGGCCTCTTGAGTCTATTCACGTGTTGACTTCCAGCGTCGCACGTGACAGGGGTGTTGAAGTGTATATGTGGATCGCCTAGCCCTTTCCATCAGTTCAGACTTTTGGTTGCGTTGGCTAGTGCATGAAGCTTAACAGTTCCATGTACTGTTGTCATCCCACCTTATTTGTTATGTGGGTTTTGTACAAAGACTTGAAGTTGAATTAGATCTGTTCTACTGATACCGGGCTTGTCTTTGAATTAGATCTGTTTCACATATACCAATTTGTGAACATCAACCAAATATTTTATCTAGTGGTAGTCTTTTGTTGAACAGAACTCATGGGGGAAATGGAGCTGCATTTTTTGTTATAATAATTTTGAAGGTTCTACTTTATTCATGTGTGCTCTCTACTTTGATCTCAGTTGTGCTGCCAACAATTGTTATGTAGCTTCAAACTTATGTCATGATATTGATGAACATAATGATACTTCTCTTTCAGTTCAGACTGGCTTATGTAGCTCCAGAGTCAAGAGTAGTGGGAGCTGGAGATTTAGTTGACGAGCCAAAGAAAATAGCTGTTCATTATCTTCGTGGTTATTTTTTACTTGATTTCTTCGTTGTGCTTCCACTCCCTCAGGTGACTAAGACTTTCTACATTGATACCAGTCGTTTTAGATATCAAGCTTCCTCATCTCATTCCTAACAAGGACCACTTGTTATTTATGCCAAAATATTTGTTCTAAGCCACACTCAAAATGCATGTATAATGTATTGCATATTTTGACTTGCTTTGGTTGCGCACGTTACAAACATATTTAGGCGAACCAGAAACTGCAAAGATCATATATAACTTGGCATAACAGTGATTATAAGAAGGCAAAATGAAGGTCGTGCTTACATAGGATCTACACATTTTAGCTCAGCCGATAATATATATTCCTAATAAATTTGCATGCATGCAAATTTCCTTTCTATGCAGCAACTGTTCTAATCTTTTCTCTAGATGGATGAATGGTTCTCATCTGCTTACTGTTCCAGTTACTCGTATAAACCAGGGAGAATTGCTCTCTTTTTCAAGTTCGTGACCAAAATAGACATATCATTGAAAGAATTTGACTTCCTTTGAACTTCCTTGCTATGTTTGTGCCATGTACTAACTGCTAAGTTTTTTCTTTGTTGCTTGATCAAGGTGATTATATTGGCGATTATCCCTAGATCTTTTGGCTTATCAACAACAGCAGATGATGCCAAGAATTATTTGCGTGTCATTATTCTTCTTCAATATGTCCCCCGCATCATCAGATTTGTACCATTGCTCGGTGGTCGTCAGTCTGCCACTGGATTCATATTTGAGTCAGCATGGGCTAATTTTGTGATTAATCTTCTAATGTTTGTTTTAGCGGGTCATGTCGTCGGTTCATGTTGGTACCTTTTTGGATTACAGGTCAGTTCATTTTTTATTGCAATTTACAGAACCATAAAGTTAACTTCCTCAATTGTATTTTACTAGTGCTAGAATATTACTCTCCGTCGGCATTGTTATAGAGAGTGGTCCTGAAGACACGTCCAGTTGCATTTAGTTCTAACATTTTTTGAGAAAAATATGTGCTCTGACTTAACTGCAACTAAAAGGAAAAATGTGATAGAAAGTTAAAAGCTGCCAGATACTGCTGCTTAATTTAATTTGTACTATGTCTCAGTTATGTATACTTCAGCAGTTATCCTTGATCATAAGTTATTCAATTTGCATAGTCAGTGCTTAACACCTGATGCCTATAAAATACTTCTGTTTCATATTTTGTCACAGAGGGTTAACCAATGCCTACAAAATGCTTGTTCTGCGTCAAACATTTCGTCGTGTAAGGTTTTCCGAGACTGTGGACTCAACTTTGATATTGGAGGGCAGAATGAGCAAATTAGTCAGCAATGGTTTAATGAGCCAGCCTCAACAGCTTGTTTTGACACTGGGAATGATACTAATTTCCAGTATGGGATTTATCAGCAAGCTGTTCTGCTGGCTACGAAACACAGTGCTGTTACACGCTATGTATATTCATTATTTTGGGGTTTTCAGGTATTTTACATCTATTGCCCGTGTTCTTCTATTTCACTTAGGTATCCCTTTTGTTGTACTTGACATGTGGTGAATAGACTTTTCCACAACATACTTCCTTATTTTTACCTTTTTTTATCTCCGTACTGAATCTACTTACCAGTGGTGTTTCCATCTATTTGTACATATTTTAATTTAGAGAATTTAAATTTATTCTTGCTGACATTTATTTTTGAATGTAAATGGTTCCATTTCAGCAAATCAGTACTTTGGCTGGAAATCTTATCCCAAGTTACTTCGAAGGGGAAGTCCTCTTCACTATGGCTATTGTTGGTTTGGGACTGTTGCTTTTTGCACTACTCATCGGGAACATGCAAAATTTTCTCCAAGCTCTTGGAAGCCGGTATGGGGTTATTACTGCTAGCTTATTTATCATGCTGTATGATCCACCTAGTTATCAATGAGCTCACACTACCTTTCCATGGAAACCTCATGCTAATTATTCATTACTGACATGAGAACCCTTACTTATTATGCATGCTTATGTATCTCAATTAGAACAATTCAGTCAATTATTATTATTTGTAGCAATATGAATCTTGATGTGGTGTATGAAGTTTTCCTTGTCTTTTTGTAGGAAACTAGAGATGCAACTTAGACGGCGTGATGTTGAGCAGTGGATGAGCCATAGACGACTGCCTGAAGATTTGAGAAGGTTTTACCTTGTGACTTCTAAACAAATATTATTGTTTTACATATTTCATGGTCTTGTACAATTGTACTCGAAAGAAGTTTTATTGTTTTGACATGTTGCTAATCTACTTTGCTTGTTATGCTTCATGAACTTGTTCTCTGTTATTTGTGCTGTTTCTACAGTTCGTATAGAAATAACAGTTTGCCAAATACTGGTGTAGTCAATCTCATGTTTCATGAAGAACTATCTTAAAACTTCATGAAAAGCTATCTTAATTTGTTTCATTGGGACAACAAATGTGTATTGTATTTCGAGAACAAGCTTTAAAAGAAGAGTGAATTCCAGTATTTACCCTCTACTTTGACACGGCTTTTAAGTTTAGCAGATTTTCATCCGAATTATCTCATTTAGTGGAAGTTTTTTTTGGTTCTTACCCCTTTTAAATTTTCAAGAGCGATCCAACAGGGTTATCCCAGCCGTCGGGTACACGTAACATGCCATGTTGTGGTTTTCCTTCTGGTTTTTTTTCCTGCACACTAACAGGTCGAATGGCTTTACACGGCTTTTTTCTCACTGTCGTCAGGTGTACATACATGCCCATCTTGCAGTTGGTTTAGCTAAACAGTTGCATGCGGGTGCGTGAGACGGATACGGCTTAGGGACACGAACCGGTTCAGATGCAAGGAGGAAACTACGACATGGCTAAAAACAGGCAAAACTTTCGCTAAATGGGGTAATCCGGATGGAAAACAGTTAAATTGGCTATTTAGCATAAAAGGTCAAAATAGGAGGCGAAAGCTGGAATTCACTCTTAAAAGACATAAAACAATGATTTAATGCACTAAATTCTCACATATGTAGTTAACCTCCATACTCGTAACATGTGCCATCTCATGGCAATGTCAATAAAGACCTGAATTGTGGTTTGAAAATTTTCTTCATGTTACTTTTGAGTTTAGTTTTACGCTTCAAAGATAGTAACCGTTGGAGGTTTCTAAATGTACAGGAGGGTTAGACATGCAGAAAGGTTCACCTGGGCGGCCACTCAAGGAGTAAATGAAGAGGAGCTCTTAAGTAATTTACCAGAAGATATTCAAAGGGACATACGTCGACATTTCTTTAGATTCCTTAATAGGGTATGTAATAAGTTGGCTGCAGTACTCTTTAATACGGTATATTTCAGTCAGCACCGTGAGGATAGGGAATGAATTAAACACTAAAATTTTAAGAAAAAGAGATTAATGGGTGATCCCAATATAAACAGCTAGAGATCTCAGCAATCTTTTTCCATCGAAAAGTGGCACGTATTTGATCTGTTCAGGTTTGGAGTATCACCAAAGAGCTAGCTATGGACAGGGGTGCGTGGAAGCTTGCTATCCATGTACCAGAGCCATGAGTTGGTTGCAAGATCTTATGGGTTTCACCTCTAGCCTACCCCAACTTGTTTGGGACTAAAGGCTTTGTTGTTGTTGTTGTAGTTTGCAGGTTCGCCTTAGTATCTATGCCTGTCTGGTAATGACCTCTCCTCACATTTCTTATGGAATCCCTGAGTGTAATTGTTCTGCAGGTTCGATTGTTCACCTTGATGGATTGGCCTATCTTGGATGCTATCTGTGATAAATTAAGACAAAACTTATATATCAGTGGAAGTGACATTCTTTATCAAGGTGGCCCTGTTGACAAAATGATCTTCATAGTGAGAGGCAAGCTAGAAAGCATCAGTGCAGATGGAAGCAGGGCTCCGTTACAAGATGGAGATGTATGTGGAGAGGAACTCCTCACATGGTACTTGGAACACTCTTCAACAAATAAAGGTCTGCAATATCTGGCCTGCCTGCTTGTTATACTCCATATATAGTTCATAATTGTAGCATCACATGTACTGCTACTGTTTCAGATGGCGGGAAAAGTAGATTTCATGGTATGCGTTTGGTTGCTATACGTACCGTGCGATGCTTAACGAATGTTGAAGCTTTTGTACTTCGAGCAAGTGATCTTGAACAAGTTACTGGACAATTTGCACGGTTCTTGCGCAATCCGAGAGTGCAGGGGGCTATCAGGTAGCCACTTGCTTGTCTGGTTTATCATATTGATCATCACGTTACTGTTTATCAAATAAAGTTGAGTTTGACTGGAACTGTAGGATGCTGAAGCTGTTGTTTTGATTAATTTTAACAGTGAGAAAATATGAGTAACTTTACTAGTGCCATGTATCGTGGTGATTAAGATTACCAGCTCAAAATCCTTCCATGATAAGAACTAGTATTATCTATGGTACTTAAGTATCCGTTTTCTGATCTCTGTATTACTACTCCGTTGGCTGATGCCTGAGACTAAGTGCTGCAAATGTGTTGGACAGGTATGAATCACCCTACTGGAGGACCATCGCTGCAGCGCGCATCCAAGTCGCATGGAGATATCGTAAGAGAAGACTAAAGCGAGCTGAAAAATCAAGGCCAAGCGAAGAACCCGGTCGTATACCGGGTACATGTTCTCAGTATGCTTTTCAGCCTGGACAGAGGGGGTGATAGTCTGCCTAAGTAGGTAGTACTAACTATTGGGTAACAGTTCTACATCTCCAGCCTCTAGAAATCCTGAAATCCGCGGACACAACTCTTTGGTTCTCTGATCTGGTACTTCCAAATGTGTGAAACTAATCTCCTTGTATATAGATATAATATGGTTTATGTATGGTTTGAGTGTCGATTGTTCCGTGTTAGGGTGGTTGAGCAAACCAGAGGCAATTCTCAAAAGAAAAAGATAGAGTAAACAAGAGACAAAATTAGGAGAAGAGCCAAATGAACAGTTGAGGGTGGGGCAAAATGGATTTTTTTTCCTTAAGAAAGAGAACATGACAGACAGAAGCTTTGTGCCCACGCTTCATGGTTCCATTTCCAGCACACTCCTCTTTTTCTTTTCTTTTGGAGGTGCATTAACCTGCGTTAGAAATTAAGATTTCGTGCAGAGAACACAAGTTGATTTATGCGCTGTTATGCTTCTATCACCTTATTGTTTGTATATAAATTATTGGCAGTAAGGATCGCGGTGGGAGAAGACAGTTAGTTTTCCCTGCAAAAAAAAAAGAAGACAGTTAGTTAGACTAGAAAAAAAATATTGAGTTTGTTGTGAAGTTGTTGTATTGAAGATACAGCCAAGTCCGCTTTAAATTGTGATGTTTAGTTTGAATTAAAGAATCATTTTGAAATTGTGAAACTTAATCTGAGTTAAGAACTAAAATTTTCAAATTTAAATTTTGTATAACTGCGAAGTTATCTTGAGAGACGCCATAACTATGTGAGATACACGCGCCAGATTCATTTCGCAAAACGACATGAATAATTCACTGAACCAAGTGAAGCAAGACAAAAGTCATTTCAGTATTATTTTACGTTGTCATCTCATTATTTGCTCTTTACTTTAAGCTTCCAACGCCCATGTTAATGAACCGGATTATTTTTAAATCCCACGAAGACTTTATTACTGCACTACGGGTAGGAACCAGAACGGAAACATGAACTGTATCTTAAAAGGAAAATCATTCTGTTTAGCTGGCCGATCACACGAAACGTTCCGCCACCCACAGCCATTGGATCACATCTGATCCAACTGCAGTCCACATCTGTTTTTTCTTGCCCTAACCAGCCACGTGCCCCCTTATCTTGGCTGCGTTCGGTTTCTCTTGGCTCCTTGAACTCCGCTCCAGGAGCGGGCTAGACTTTAGCTAAATTTGATGGAGCTGCTAAAACCCAACTCTGCGAAGCGGGGAAGTTCCGAACAGGGCCCTTATCTCTAGAAATCTCCGCCGTCTTTCCCCAACCATTTTCACCCATTCTCTCTTTAAGCTCTCATCCTCTAACAAGACACCGCGGTTTCATTTGTCACCGTCTGAAGTCGCCTCTCCAGAAACCTCCACCGTCTTTCCCCAACCATTTTCACCCGTTCTCTCTTTGAGCTCTCATCCCCTCACAACCATGGATGTCGCCTCCCCGAGCTCAGTCACAACCACCAGTGCCATTGCAGCAATAATTCCCGCAGCTATGCTACTGCTGTGTCACGCGACCACGTTTATGCAACAAGACCTATGTTGCAAACACAAATTTGCAACAATATATCCGTTGCAAAAAAAAAAACAATAACAATATTTGAGTTGCAAAACAAATTCTCAAACTAATTTTGTAACATGACCTCTGTTGCAAAAAAAAAAACTTCATCACAACCATTGTTGCAAAAGAGTTCTAACAACACGTTGCAAAAGTGATGACGACGCTCGCGCATGAGATCGTGTCAGATCTGATGGCTTGGCGGCCGGCGTGTAGCACGCTCCATCTCAAAAACAAAAGTTGGAGGATGA